TCTCAGTGATTACAACAGCTAAACCACATTACCATGATTCAGAAATGTTATAGTTAATTGATGCATGCTACTAGAAAAATGTCAAAGTACAATCCTTATAGTCCAAACAGTTAGGAAAAATAACTTTTCCTGATGTACCTAGCCGAACTTCCCTTTAACAGGGATGAAGGTTTGTACCTTAGTTCTTGTCCTGTCTGTGCCCTTAAGCAATGCTCTATGACTTAAAATTTTCAGCTTCTGAACTAAACTTTAATGTTAAAACACTTCACAAGAATTCTTCATAAAAATCTTTAGGATCCTCAGATCTCTGTGAAATGAAAGATATATAAGATTCTTTTACTAAGAAGTCCTTTGTGGACTTGCTAATTTTGCTCTTTAAAATATTTAAAATTCTATCTGTATATTTCATATTTGTAACTTAAATATTTCTAAGCTTAAATATTTAACATATTAAGTAATACAATAACATACACGAGGGCTAGACGTAGCCCTCAGACTAACTGTAGCCTAGCACCCTGCTTTTGATGATCTGTGAGTTAAGACTGGTTTATACATTTTGAAAAGGTTAAGAAAAAAAAAAAGGTCAGGTGTTGTGGCTCACACTTGTAATCCCAGTGCTTTGGAAGGCAAAGGCAGGGGGATCATTTGAGGCCAGGAATTCAAGCCAGCCTAGGCAATGTAGCAAAACCCTATTTTAAATAAATAAATAATAGGCAGGGCATGGTAGCACATGCTGGTAATGCCAACACTTTGGAAGGTCAATGTGAGAGAATGCTTGAGCCAGATGTTTAGGACCAGACTGGGCAACATAGGTAGACTTTGTTTCCACAAAAAATGTAGCTGGGCATGGTGACTATAAATCCAGCTACATGGGAGCCTAAGGTGGAAAGATCACCTGAGCCCAAGAGGTCGAGGCTGTGGTGAGCTGTGATTGCGCCAGGTTACTCCAGCCTGGACAACAGAGTAAAAGGAAAAAGAAGTAGAAGATGAAAAGATGAGGAGAGGAAGGAGATGGTGAAGGGAGAAGAAAACGCGATGGAGATCATGTACACAAAAATCTAAAATATTTGCTATCTGGTCCTTTGTAGAAAAAGTCTGCAGCTCTGATACATACTATTAAAATATTTACATATTATTGTATATGTTTTTATGTTGTTATACATAACCTGCACTGTATATTAAATATTCTATATGTTTTAAATTTGTATATATAAACAGTACACATAAATTAAAGTATAAAGTACCTTGAAACCTAAAACCTCACAATCAGCACATATCCTAAAATTTGGTTTTAAAACACACAATATAAAAATGTTGATGCTTCATTCCAAAAGTAAATGTGAGGTTTAAAAGTCTTTATTTATTTATTTATTGAGTCGAAGTCTCACTCTGTCACTCCAGGCTGGAGTGCACTGGCATGGTTCATAGTCACTACAGCCTAGACTTGTTGGGCTCAGGTGATCCTTCCACCTCAGCCTTCCAAGAAGCTGGCACTACAGGCATGCACCACCACACCCAGCTAATTTTTTTTTTTGTAGAAACAAGGTCTCACCAAGTTGCCCAGGCTGGTCTTGAAGCCTTGGGCTCAAGGAATCCTCTCGCCTCAGCCTCCCAAAATGTGGAATTACAGGCGTAAGCCACTGCGCCCAGCAAAAGAATGGTTTTCAAAGTAATATGTATTCATTAGAAAACATGGAAATAGGCCGGGCTCGGTGGCTCAGCCTGTAATCCCAGCACTTTGGGAGGCCGAGGCAAGTGGACTGACTGAGCCCGAGGGTTCGAGACCCACATGGGCAACTTGGCGAGCCCTCGTCTCTACAATAAATCAAAAAATTAGCCGGGCATGGTAGCGCGCACCTGTAGTTCCGGCTACTTGGAAGGCTAAGGCGGAAGGATTGCTGGAGCCTAGCAGGTCGAGGTTGCAGTGGCTAGGAGTATGACACTACACTCCAGTCTGGATGACAGAGTGAGACTCCAACTCAAAAAAAAAAAGAAAAAAGAAAAGAAAGAAAGAAAATATGGAAAACAGAAGTGCCTAGAAGAAAAAAAAAAGAAAAACTTGAATTCCGCCTCCCAGAACTAACAAGTTAATGCACTTTCCCAAGTGTATGTAAAATCTTGTATCTTACCTTTTTTTTAACCTAATAATCAATCCTGAAGATTTCCTCATATCATTAAATATTCCTGAAAAACATGTTTTAAGGGCAGCACAATCTTGTTGAACATTGATATGGCTCCATTTTCAATATTTAGAGTGCTACAAGCACACTTACAGTTGCCCTTTGCATACAATCATACTTCCCTCAGGATATTAATAAATCCTTAGAAGCAGATGACTGAATACAAGAACAATCTTTGAAGAACTCCAGAATTAGATCCTCGCATTTCTGAATCACTTCACTAAAATCCATCCATCATCTTTTCATGCAGATATGGCTCACCTATAATCCTTTCATAATCATTCAGGATTTTGAATACTGAAAATACAGATTTTACCTTGGCCTTTGTGAGATATAACAGACCTTGAAGAACTTCCTTTTTTTTTTTTGGAGTTGGAGTCTTACTCTTGCCACCCAGGCTGGAGTGCAGTGGCCGCTCCCGGCCACCGCAGCCTCGACCTGCTGGGCTTAGGCAATCCTTCCACCTCAGCCTTCCAAATAGCTGGAGCTACAGATGCGTCCCACCATGCCCGGCTAGTTTTTGTGATTTACTGTAGAGACGAGGTCTCACCAAGTTACCCAGGCGGGTCTCAAACCCCCAGGCTCAGGCCTCCCAAAGTGCTGGGACAGGCTGAGCCACTGCTCCCAGCCAAGATCTTTCTTTTAAGTTTGCTAACTCTATTCACAATAATGTCTAAGCATATGTATTTCTGTATTTCTTTCAGAGAAAGCATAGTATATTGCCCAAGTAGCTATTACGAGAAAAAGTGTGCCCCTAGTACTCAAGACCATCTGATAGCACCTTACAAAAAAAAAAAAAAAGCCATCAAAACCAAAGGGAGTGTTCTTGAAGTTACCTCATCCACCTTAGCTCTCTTTGCTCCTTCCCCAAATGCCCGGTAACACCCATATCTGCCACACTGCAGACTTATCAAATATATGTGTGTGAAAACTGGTTATTATTGGATGCTACCTTTGAGAAGGCCAGAGATTCATTTGAGCCATGACTTCTAGGTTAAAGCTTAACCATCTACATATAGTCTCCAGTGACCACAGGACAGAAAATTCAGCCTTCTTCCTAGCAAGATACATACTTTTTGTAACTGGTAATATCTGCAATTAGCCAACGCTGTAAAAATTCTCCTTCATATAATCCAGTATCACTTCAGCAGAGCTGGAAGTGGGTCTAAATGCCCAATCTATTTAGCAAGAAGACTTAAATTTTATATATTCAACATTAAAAGATAATAATCAACATCTGAGCAGACTTCACAAGGACACCCTACACTTGTGTAGTGCCCTTCCTTATATTATCTTCTTTACTCCTCAAAGAAGTCACTTACAAGTTATTTGCCCACTTTACAAGGAAGAAAAATCACAGCAGTGAAAGAACTAGATGAAGAGTGAACTGGCCACAACCCAAATGATACTCAAATCTGGACAATTTTGATAACAGCCTATCTTCTCCAAGAGTCAGGATGAAATAGGATTAATGGGCATCAAACTAATGAAAATGCATGAAATAAAGCCTTGATTTTTATGATTTCCCTCAACATATTTAACACTTAATAGGCTTGAAAATGTTTCCTCTTAAAAAAGTTGTTTGCAGCCAGGTGCAGTGGGTCACACCTGTAATCTCAGCACTTTAGGAGGCAAGGGCAGGAGGCTCACTTGAGGGAAGGAGTTCCAGACCAGTCTGGGCAATATAGCAAGATCCCAGCTCTACAAAAATTTTAAAAGTTAGCCCAGCATGGTAGCATGCCTGTGGTCCTAGCTACTAGGGAGGCTGAGATGAGAGAGTCATTTGAGCTCAGAAGGACAAGGCTGCAGCAAGTTAGATTCCTGCCACTGCACTCCAGCCTAAGCAACAGAGCAAGATCCTGTCTCAAAAAAATAAAAAAGTTCCAGGAACAAGAAACCCAATTCTCTTTGTTCTTTCTGCCACTTATTAACTTTATGATCACGGTTGACACTTTAAGTTTTGGCTTTCATATCTGTACACACAGAATTCACATGTATACAGTTTCATATGTATTTCACAGTTATAAACCAGTTAAGATTAAGTGAGAGCCAGATGCGGTGGGAGGCTGAGATGAGAAGACTGCCTGAGCCCAGGGTTCAAGAGCAGCCTGGGCAACCTGGTGGGACCTTGTCTATAAAATAAATTTTAAAAAACAGCCAGGTGTAGTGGTGCATGCCTGTAGTTCCAGCTACTTGGAAGGCTGAGGTGGAGGGTTCACCTGAACCCAGGAGGTCGTAAGAGTGCCACTGCACTCCAGCCCAGGCGACAGTGAGACTCCAGAGTAAATGTGATTATGTATGAAAACGCTATATTACAAATAATGTTCAAAAATGTTTACTGAATGAAAGAATGGTTGGAAAGACAGTATGCACTATAGATGTCCAAAATAACAGACATTTGCCTACAGCAAACCTCTATCTGCATGTTTGCCTAAAAGCCAGTACTTACAGTAGACCCTAACCAAACACACACATCACCGTAATAAATTCTTTCTGTGAACTTTTGCCTCCATCCCATATTATTTCACTATTAACTATGAATACCTGGTAAACCATGTAATAACCCTAAAACAAAAATCAAATATAACTTTGGAACACCTGTCACCACAGACTGCACATACTGGAGTATGATGGGATTACAAAGCAAAAACTGCTTCTTGACTTTTAAATGTATTAATAGGTATTTGCTGATACTTGTGTTTTTACAACGAGTTTTAAATTTTCTAATCTATAAAACATTTAACATTTATGCATGCTGCAGCAAGGAAAATGTTGAAAACAATGTTCTTAGAGTTAGTATTTGCTACTTTTAAAACTCACTGAGAAATGTTGAAGTAAGTCTTCCTTTTCTTCCTCTGTGAATCCCCCAACTGTGAGCGCTTTGGGACGGTGGTCCACCACCATGTGATTTAGTGCACCCCTTCCTCTTCCTCCACGTCCTCGGCCTCTTCCTCGACCCTGAGAGGACATGGTCTTTCCTCGACCCACAGGTAAAATACCTAATCGTGCAGCCTGAATAACAACAAAAAGGAGACGTAATATACATGATTAGACTAAATCTTGAAAAACAGAGGAAGAAAAAGCTTTGAGATGTTAAGCGTGGTAGGTCAGTAACTCCTTTTAAATCTCACCTCAACCTGCAACTGACTGAGTTTCTTCCGTAATTCTGTTGTATCTTCTCCTGAGGATAGCCTCTTGTGGAGGTCCAGTTCAGTATCTAATAACTCTTTCTGGGCCTTTGGAAAAATTGAAAATAAAAAGGTGTTTTTTAAAATAATTTACAAGATCTCATCCAGAACATTATAGTTACACAATGACACACATCTCTTTTGGGAAAATGAGAGTAAGAGAATGCAATAAACATGGATAATTTAAATAAAGCAAGTAACTTTATAGCTATAATAGTGCAAATATGTAGAGCATATCAGTGGAAAATAATAAGCAGTATTACTGCGTAAGATGGCCTAAAAATCAATTCTGAGAATAGACACCTGAGATGAGGAAGCTGAGAATAATTTTCACATAATAAAGCATCATAAATGAAATATAACAGAGTAAAATAAGTTATATGGTAAAAATTCATAAACAGTACAAAGGTAACAGTTACATAATTATTATCAGATTGGAACCCATAACTGTTACCACTCTTTTTTGTAAGAAACAAACTATCAGTCTTTAGGTGGCAAGACCGTGAGAATTTTTTTTCTTTTTAATTTTTAAAATCTGTTTATGTCCTTTCTACAAATGGGGAAATGTCAGTAAACGAAACATTCTTATTATGTTTTTTAAAAACTACTCTTAATGAAACATTTTACATTCCTATATTGATAAAGAATAATTTCAAATGTGATATAATATTGTACATAACTATTTACATTCAATATATCTGACAAATTTATTCCCAGTCTCAAATGCACAAAGGACTGGAATTATCTAAAATCTCACTACAGAGCTATGGTATAATGGAACCACTGTCTACTGCAAGTACTTTAGGGTAAGAGAAAAGATGGACATTAGTAAAATTAGACTTAAAGGGCCCTAGATCTTCTAATTAGTCTACATTTTTACCCATATTAAAGCCAGTGGCATCTTTTGGCTATAAAAGGAATGGTCTTATTACAACAGTATTACCGCATTAGGACAAAAAAAATCCTGAGGAAATATCTCTTTCCTCAGTCATCACACTAGCAGTTTCACCTTCAGCACAAAGAACCAAAAAGTTCAATTAAAAAACACATTTTATTCAAACAAGGCATTATCACCTCTTTTCAAAGGGAGCGCATAGCACTTACTGAAACACTAAAATATATGATACTGTAATTGTTTGCCTGTTTCCCTGTTAAGCTAAAGTTCCCTAAGGGTTCCGCTGTACTTTCAAAGTGTCAAGCATATGGCAGAGGTTTAATAACCCTATATTAAATGAAAAAATGCAAACAGATACCTCTGTTTTTGTCTTCACTTTAGATGGTGTGGAGACTGCAGAAGAAGTTTTTAATTCATCTTTTAACTGAGAGATCTTTTCTCCAAGCTCTTTCAAAGTCTTCATTATATTTGCTCTTTCCTCTGGTTTCATGTTTTTGTTTTTTTCTAACTTGGATATCAGCATCTAAAAAATAAACAGAAAAAAGTAAAACTATGCTTAATAAACTTTAATATAAATAAACCTTTAAAACTTAACTATTATGTATATCTTTGTAAAATTAATTACATACATCAATTCTAGCTTCTAAATACGTTTTTCTCTTACCTTTTGGCATTCTATTTGTTTTTCTAACATTTCTTGCCTCTTTTTTCTCATATCTTGCTGTAGTTTCAATGCCTCCTGAATGAATAGGTAAAAAAGAAATAATGAATAACAAGATTTGTCAATGATACATAATGCTCCTTTTTTCCAAGTCATCCCTAAGACAGATTTTCCTCTAATAAAAAAATAACTGAAACCAGAGATGAAACCTTTGAATATATTTTCCCTAACACTTCCAATATAATAAAGTTTTCATTTATAACTGAATGTTAAATATTGGACACTACTTAGCTATATCTATGAGGTTTATTGACTTGAATGTCTTTATAAAGAAAAGTAACAACTGCTTTCACTTGCCAATGTAATAAACCAAATACTTATTTTTGAAGCTTACGGTTAAAAAATGTGAGATGGGGCTATAGGTTAGCAATGACAGCAAAGTCTCTGGATTTGCCAAGAAAATTTTACCTTCCATCCTCCTGTCAATTAAATCTCTAATTATAGTGAGATAGTACATATAAATATCTATTTTATTTGAAAAACTCTATGGAACTTAAATCTAGAATGACAATGAAACAAAACTGAGTCACATGAATAATACCTATATAATGTTATACCTTATGTGAATCATTTTCTAACTTACAAAACCAAAAAGGAATTTAAAAAGAAAATAAACACTAAACTAAAATGTCTACTTCTTTCCCTTAGAGAGGGAAAAAAAACACATAGTAAAAAAAATAGGGGAATATTAGTAAGAGGAGTTATTTAAAAACAGAAAAAGAAAAAAAAATTATTCTTTGTGTTTGCTGTGGCCACTAAATGGTAACCGTGAAACTGTTTCTGTATGTTCATCTTTTTTTTTTTTTATCAAGTTTACACTGAACAGAGAAAAAGCTAAATAAAGTAAGCATTATGATGTAATCCCATAACACTAGCTGATTTAAAGGCATTAATGTAATCACTTAGCAAGAAGAATCAAAACTGTCACACCTGTTTGTTTTTTTTGTTTCATTCTGCTACCCAGACTGGAGTGCAGTGAATCATAGCTCATTAAAGCCTGCAACCTCTGGGCTCCAGGGATCCTTCCACCTCAGCCTCCCAAGTAGCTGGAACTACAGGTACGCACTACCATGCCAGACTAATTATTCATTTTTTTTGTAGATGAGGTCTTGCTATGTTGCCTACACTGAGATTACCTGTTTTTTTTTAAGAACTTCTTGGACATCATGAGATTTAGACCCTGAACAAAGTTTTGAGGGTGTCTTTAAGTTTGAGGAGCTGTAAATCATTTTTGGATGGCCCGGAGTTGAAAATACCTAAAAAATAAAGGGGAAAAAAAGTACACACAAATATAATTAAATTAAATATTAGAAATGTTTAGAATACTTTTTTAGGAAGACTGCATATATTTCTACTCTTTAGGGAATTAAATTTTCTTTTCACATTTAAAAGCTCCATGATAATAGCTAATTCTTTTAACAGAACCTGAGATCTGAGAAAGCTAGTTTTTTATGCATAAATTCAACTGTCATTCAAAAGATAAAAACAAAACTATTTGTCAGCAATAACAGTTTGTTTTTTAGGGCAATCCATTATTTTTCTTGACATCTAGGAGTTGGCCCATCACTCACAGGTAGGTCTAGTGCCATTCTGTTAAACACAATTTCACAAAATACCAACAGCTGACAAAGCTGCTCTTGTGATCATGACTAATCAAGACAAAATCAAGCACTCCATAATCAATGACTGAATACAGACAAAAACATGAATACTATCCAAACCATAAAAATGACTGAACATCTCTTTACCCTGAGAATGACTGATGCTTATCTACCAATTACTATGTTAGCCTTGTTCTAGTATTCCCTTTTCCTAGGTAAGGCTTATTAAGATATCCTATCATAGAATTTATACCTGCTTCCTTAAATCCTCCTAAATCATCTAATACAACAGCCCAAATCCTAAAATAAGTCCTTTTAAAACACAGTTTCATTGTGTATACTCCCTCAATGAATAATAAATTCAACTTGTTTGACTACAGGTGTGTCCCTGGCATCTGGCTGAAGGGCATTGTTTTAAGTTATTTTCCATAAGTCAAGTGCCAAATAAAAACCCATGTTTCCAACCACTGGGAACCATTCTAAGAATTAATCAACTTTACAGTCTTAATATTATACTTAACCAATTACTGTGAGTTTACCATCAAATATAAGACAGGCAGTAGTTGGCTCACAGACCTGACTCTGTGAGCAACCAGAGATGGCCATCTTCACAGTGCTGGTTTTGGTATTTAGGTCCCTTCCCTTTTCCAAACAAAAGACTCTCCAATTAACCTTCCTTCTTTAAAGTGCACAGAGATATATAGTAAATCTATCTGGTTCAAGTCTTCCCTATCATACTCTGCTTTTTTAAAAACTTTTAAATTACCTTCGAATGCATAAGAGACACAAAAGTATTAAGAAATTCACAAAAATTTATTCACATAAATAACAGATTCAAATCACTACAATACTTAATTATCCTCAAAATTAAACCTCTTTAACTACATAGGAAAGTATCCCAAATATCCTAAGAACCCTACATAGCTGGTGTTCATGTTATTATTTATTTTATTAATATTAAAATGGCAACACCTACAATTTACTGAGCACTACTTATGTGCTAAGCACAGAGAGTTTTAATCCCCATAGCAACAGCTAAGAAGAGGCAGATCAAGTCAGTTAGGGCTATCTGACTTCAAAATCTTTAATCATGTTTTTCTGTTTTATAATAAACTTGTTTTGAAACAAAAGTACAGAGAATTGATATACCCATCACCAAACAGCGACAATCATCAAAGCATAAAATAATCTTCTTTCATTTATAGCCACAACTAATACCTTCTTATCCCAAATACTGTATCATTTCATCTGTGACATTTCACATATTAGACATATCTCTAGAATACAAGGTCTTTCATTTTTCAATATTACCACAATACCATCATTACATACTTCAGTAATACCTTCTTCAATATCACAAACTATACACAGCTCCAGTTTTTAATTTTCTGGAAAATGTTTCCCATTTGAATTGAGATCTACTAAGGTTCAAGTAGTGCAACCGGTTAGGTCTCTTTAAAGTCTCTTTTAATTCATAGTTTCCCTTTCAATCTCTTTTCTTTACAAATCATTTGTTGAAGAAACCAGGTCATTCATCCAGTAGTATTCCCCACAGGATTCTGTGATACCCTTGAGCATGTTCCTCTGTCTCCCAAATTTCCTTTAAATTAGTGGGTAGACCGAGAGCCTTCATGAGATTTGTTTTTCTCTTTGACAGGACTCTAGCAGTCTTTGACAACTTCCTCACTTTCTGGTTTAACAAAATATTCTAGACTTATGTGCAACACTGCCAGTCCCAGATCTGGATATAGCCATTTCTTCAAAGATCCCTGGTTCCTGTGAGTGCTAGGGGTGCTCACTGCCACTGGATTTTAGTTTCTAGGTCATTTCAGTAAACAGAATTAGGAAATGTTTTCAGGTTATTTCCTTCCTTCCTTCCTTCTCCTTTCCTTCCTTTCCTTTCCTTTCTACCCTCCCTCTGTCCCTCCGACAAAATATAACCTAAGTTTGTCCTGATAATTTCAATTCAAATGCAGGACTATGGTGTTTTTATTTAATCTCATCTATCTTCCGTCTCTCTTTTCAAGCTCCCTGAAAATCTGTGTTGTCAACATTAACATAATTTCTTATTTGATTTTTCCTACAATCTTCACAAATCAGTTTCAGAATACCAACACTGCCAACAATATGTTCAGAAAGAGCTTTTTAAAACCGTTTTTTGTCCTCAGGGTATGTCCCAATTAGGAATATATAGTCAAGTCACTATTTTAAATAACTCTCCATGCAGATGCTAGCTAGTTTTATTTTTATTTTCAATTCTCAGGGTTTACTTTTATTTCATTTAATTTTATAGTTATATTCAGCATTGATTCACATTGTTCCAAATCAAATCTACAAAACAAGATATGGACATAAATCATGCAGCTTCCAGCAGCTAGCTATAACCATTGGATTTAAAACTTCAATTATCTTTTTGTTTTGCTATTATAAGCAAACACTGTCCTTACTTTTTCATTTTTCTATTTTTTATTTTTTTGAGTTGGAGTCTGTCTGTCGCCCAGACTAGAGTGCAGTGGCCACTGCAGCTTCTACCTGCAGGACTCAGGTGATCCTTCCACCTCAGCCTTCCAAATAGCAAGAACTACAGGCTCATGCCACTATGCCTGGCTAGTTTTTTTATTTATTGTAGAGATGAGGTCTTGCCAAGTTGCTCAGGCTGGTCTCAAACTCCTGGGCTCAGGAAATCCTTCTCTTCTCTGCCTCCCAAAGTGCTGGGATTATAGGTGTGAGCCACAACACCTAACTTATCCCTACTTTTTAATACCAACAGTGGCCAACTATATACTTTTTCTTCCATTTTCCTTTTTTTTAAACTTAATATATCCTGATAATCAGTCCATGGTATATATAAAAATACTCTTTATTCCTTTGTAAAGTTGTATATACTTTACAGTGTGGATATACATTTTAAGTAACCAGTACCCCACAGATGGGCATTTGGGTTGTTTCTAGTCTTTTGTTATTATAAAGAGTCTACAATTACTAGCCGTGCACATATGCCTATCCATAATTTGGCAAGCATACCTTTGACATAGATTCTTAAAAGAAAGATTACTAGAGTGCATAATTTTGCCATGTACTGCCAAATTTTCTTTCATAGAGGTTTTATTATATAGTGTTTCCATCAGCATCAAAATATCAGATCCATTTGTGATTTATCCTGGTTTATGATGTAATTTTAAAATGGGTCTAATTTTATCTTTTCCATATGGCTATCCAGTTACCCCAATAATATTTATCAAAATGTCTATAACTTCTCCACCATTCTGGGATACTTTGCTATTATATAATAAACTCATATTTGCAACTAAGTCTAGTTCTAGATTTTCTAGTCCTTCCACTGATCTGTGTAATCATGTGCAATATCAAACTGCTTCTTTCTTTTTTTTTTTTTTGAGTTGGGGTCTCACTCTCTCGCCCAGGCTGGAGTGCAGTGGCACACTCACGGCCACCACAGCCTCGACCTACTGGGCTCAGGTGATCTTTTCGCCTCAGCCTTCCAAGTAGGTGAACTGCAGGCATGTGCTACCACGACTGGCTAATTTTTTTATTTCTTGTAGAGATGAGGTCTCACCAAGTTGCCCAGGCTGGTCTCGAACCCATGGATTCAGGCAATCCTCACCTCAGCCTCCCAAAGTGCTGGGATTATAGGTATGAGCCACCACGCCCGACCCTAAACTGTTTCTATCATAGACTACATAGCATTTTGGGGGCTAACCCCTGTTGCTGTTCTTTTTCAGGTTTTATGTTTTTGTTTTTTTTTAGTTCTCTTTATAATAATCACCATGCTCAAGAGTCATTATATATTGCTAAAAGCAAAAGAAACTATCTAAAACATATTTCAAAGTTTGACTTTTTATTTTCACAGAATATCCTTTACAATGTCCTTTAATATATTAAAAATGAAAATAAATAAAGAAATGGACTAATCAAGACATTTATCCATTAATAGCTAAAATTCTATTTATCTTTGAATAGAAAAATATCATCAGCAAATTTCTGACTGAATTATGGAAATTACAAAAGTATACCTGCCACACTTAGGTCAGCTGTCACACTTGTCTTGACTGAGGAAGTAAGACATTACAAATCTAGATGACATTAAATTTGTTAGTTTCTTTAATTCATTGAATGACTAACTATATTCGAGGTTCACAGAAATGCATACCTGGCAATCCTCTCCAGCACCACCAGACTGATTCAGTAAGTGTGATGTATCACTCTGGTTACCACTTGCATGTCCAAGACGGTGTTTAACAGGAACTTTGTTAAGAACATATGCACCTGGTGTCTGTGGTTTGCTTATCATCTGCACAAACAAAATAAACACTTGTGTGGTAAAAGTTTAAAAACATGCCTAAGAATGATACAAATGTAGGGCAGTGATTGCCCTGGGGAAGAAATAAAGAAATGGTATTGGAAGGAAGCTTAAAGTATCCGTAAGGTTTTATTTCTGTAAGTGAGGTGGTAAATATTGATATATTATCCACACTTTTTTGGAAGTCTAAACGTATGCACATACACACATAAAAATTGTTAATTGGTTGGGCTCGGTGACTCAGCCTGTAATCCTAGCACTTTGGGAGACCGAGGTGAGTGGATTGCCAGAGCCTAAGAGTTCGAGACCAGTCCAGGCAACTTGGCGAGACCTCATCTCCACAATAAGTAAAAAATTAGCCGGTCGTGGTAGTGCATGCCTGTAGTTCTAGCAACTTGGAAGTCTGAGGCGGAGGGAACCCCCGAGCCCAGCAAGTCAATGCTGGGGTGGCCATGACTGTGCCACGGCACTCCAGCTTGGGCGACAGAATGAGACTCCAAATAAAAAAAAAAAACTGCTAATTATTTTTTTAATGTTCCCACCAATATGTAATGCTCTGGAAGACTTAGGGGGTCTTAACAGAGTGGCCTAATATGAATAACAGTGTGAAATAATCACCTCAAAAATATAATGTGATCTCGGGCTGCTTTAACAGAACATGGTCTGATGATCACAGAGGTGATGGTATCACTCTTTTCTACAGTATTCATCCAACATCTAGGGAAAGCATTTACCTTGGGCCCTAACATGAAGTGGATACAGACAGAAGAGAATCAAGGTTTAGATGCAAATGAGAAGGATTATAAATGGGGTGAGACTACATACTGTAAGGAGGTCGACACTGGGGTGGCCGTGAGTGTGGCACTGCACTCCAGCCTGGGCAACAGAGTGAGACTCCAACTCAAAAAAAAACAAAACAATTTTTTCTACATGGGAAAAAATGAGTGGATACAAGAAAGACTGGTTCTAACACAAAACAAAGAAGTAGCTCTAAGTTCAGAGTTGTTCAGTGGTGGGCGGTTATTGTACTTTAGTGTGCATAAGAATCATTTAAGAATGCTTCCTAAACATGCACATTCATAGGCCCTACATCTAGAGATTGATTCTGTGGGTTTAGGAAGATAAAGCCCAGGAAGTTGCATCTTTGTCAGTACTTCTAATAGATTTAGCACTTTTCAAACTTTAGGGTATGTAAGAATCACCTGGAGAACTTGTTGAAGTACAAATTCCTGGGCCCCAGTCATAGGGATTCTGATTCAGCAGGACTGGTTATGGCTCAAGAATTTGCATTTCTTTCCCCCCCCAATAATCTGCATTTCTAATAAGCTTGCAGGAGGTCAGATGCTGCTGGTTTGCAGATCAACTTATGAGTAGCACTGAAGTAGAAGACCCAAGAACTGTGAATTAAGAAATACTGAGGGTGAGACTAGAGAACCCTTAAATTCCCAGTGAGCCAAATTACCTTCTGGATACCTCCATGCACTGTAGAAGGAGGAGACTGGGCAACCAGCACCTGCTGCTGATGAAGATGCTGTGGCAAGTGATGGTGCTGTTGTGAGAGGTGACTAAGAGTTTGCTGTTGCTGCAGTAGCAACTGTGCTGAGGACTGTAGTGCTGGTTGCTCATTATTTTCCCTATGCCACAGGACTCGAATGAATCGGTTGTTCAGAACTGCTTCTGTGCTAGAAATGGCTTTCCTGGCTTCCTCATTGGTAAAATACTGAATGAGGGCAGCTTCTGGATCACCCTTAAAAGCAACCTTTAAGACAATAATAGAAACAACATAAATTCTCCAAAACAGAAAACAGTTAAATAAATTATGGCTCATGGCTACATAATAAATTGCGTCCCACCCAGATTTGTATGTTGAAGCCCTAAACTCCAACATATCTGTATCTGGAGACTTTTAGAAGGTAATTAAGATGAAATGGAAGCTGGGTTCGGTGGCTCAGCCTGTAACCCTATGCCTCTGAGAGGCTGAGGTGAGTGGATTGCCTGAGCCTGCGGGTTCGAGACCCGCCTGGACAACTTGGCGAGAACTTATCTCTACAATAAATCAAAATCAGCTGGGCGTGGTAGCGCGTGCCTGTAGTTCCAGCTATTTGGAAGGCTGAGACGGAAGGCTCGCCGGAGCCCAGGAGGCGAGGCTGCGGTGGCCGGGAGCAGCCACTGCACTCCAGTTTGGGAGACAGAGTGAGACTCCAACTCAAAAAAAAAAAAGATTAAATGAAGTCACAAGGGTGGGGACCTACAGGACAGAATTGGTGGCCTGAAAAGAGAAGAAAATCTCCCTATCTCTCTGTCATGTAGGGACAGAGAAGGAAACCAGCTATCTACAAGCCAAGAAAAGAGCCCTCTCTAGTAACTAAATCAGCCAGCACTTCCCAGCCTCCAGAACTGTAAGAAAATTAATTTATATTACATAAGCCACAGTCTGACAATCTATGGTATAGCAATCCAAGCAGATTAATACACCTATCTATATTAAGCCATCTAAATTTTTCTAAATGTCATAAAGAATACTAACCTAGAAAAAAAGTTTAAGAAAAAACCCAGATATTTGGTATGACCACATCTTTTGTATTTTTTAAGTGTGTGAAGCATTTTTAACAAGAAAATGTGTAGACTGGGCATGGTGACTCACACCTGCAATCTCAGTATTTTGGAAGGCCATGGTAGGAGGATTGCTTGAGCCCAGAAGTTCAAGACCAGCCTGGGCAAAACAGCAAGACTGTGTCTCTACAAAAATAAAAGTTTAAAAAATTAGCTGGGTGTGATGGCATGCACCTGTAGCATCATCTATTAAGGAGGCTGAGGCAGGAAGATTACTTGAACCCAGGAGGTCAAGGCTGTGGTGAGCCATGATCATGCCACTGCACTCCAGACTGGGCAACAGAGTGAGACTCTGACTCAACATACATACATAAAATTCCAACTTAAATGATCCTTCAAGTATCCTCAATTATAGCATAACACCCAACCACAAATTCATAAATTCAAACATCTAACAAGTAGACAGTGAAATACAAAAGCTACAGTTTATTTTGTCTTGGATAGCATATTATATTGCCTAACATTCTCAGATTAGAACCATCCTTAACCAATTACTATTTCACTAAAATATAAAAGTCAGTCAGTAAACAAGATCACAATCTTAGAAATTACCAAAAGTCTCTGTTACTGAGAATGGTAATGCAGGTTTTAAAAAAAGTCATTTACCCAGAGGTAGAACTACAGTAACTAACTCAGTGTCTTTTGGGAGGAGATTGCAAAGACAATCAAATTAATTCCTAAGACCAAATGCAGTTTAACATTCCATCATAAAGGTGGATATATAGATATGGAGGAGAGTTTACAATACTTAGCAGAGATTATCAGAATAACCACTAACTAATTTAAACAAGGTAAGCAAATAGAAATACTTTCCAAGACCCATAAAACACCTGGATTTTGTCACTTGACATAGCCACATTTACCTGAATATTAACAATAGTTCCAAATTTGCTGAAGTGTTCATTGAGCTTTGTAATGTTGTTCAATTCCTGAGGGATTTTCTTGACTTCTAATTTGGTGTTTGTATACTGATTCTTTCGCAAGAACCCTGGTTTATTTTGATTGTTATTCCCTTGCCTAAAAGGAATATTAATTGATCTTGGTTAATTCTCCCACTTCATGTCTAGTCAAAAGATATACCAGCAAAGAATACAAGTTAATATTTATGAAAAAGTGCCTTTTGTAATCCAACATTCTTCAGAAATTACAAAGCAATTTCACATCATCTTTATTACATAGGAACAGAAAAGGTGGAGGAAAAGAAAGAAGAGTAAACTGCAAAAGGTTACAAAAAGAAGAGGTCTGATCAACACTTCAAATCACATGCTAAAAAGATTTGCCACAATTATCAAGGAATCTAACATTAAAGAATAGAGCATCAGCCGGGCTCAGTGGCTCAGCCTGTAATCCCGCGCCTTTGGGAGGCTGAGGTGAGAGGACTGCCTGAGCCCACGGGTTCGAGACCCGCCTGGGCAGCGAGACCTCATCTCTACAATAAATCAAAAAATCAGCCGGGCATGGTAGTGCATGCCTGTAATTCCGGCTACTCAGAAGGCTGAGGTGGAAGGATCGCCAGAGCCCAGTGGGTCGAGGCTGTGGTGGCCGGGAGCGGCCACTGCATTCCAGTCTGGGTGATGGAGTGAAACTCCAACTCAAAAAAAAAAAAGAATAGAGCATCATTTTTAATGGTGTATTTTTCAATTTCCATGAAGGTACAGAACTTTCTGCTACTTTTCTATCCATTTCCAGTATCTCAGTAATTTCTAATATTGAGTTAGATGTAGAAATAGGTAGGTACAAATTACAAATACCTACTATAAATATTCTGTCAGTTTTTCAATTTTTAGAACATTCTAAAATGTCTCTTGGAACCCTAGCTTTGCGACACATAGTTTAAAACTCATTGATTAATGACAACTTTTTTTCCCCAAGTCCTTGTACGAGTGAAGTCAACTCTTAATTTTATGAATTTACTGACGCAACAACAACAACAACAACAACAATTAGATGTTACTAATTAGCAAATTATCTTACTTTCCCAGCCAAGGTTTCTTTGTGAGTGGTCCTTCCAAACCACTTATAACTCTTTTTCGGCTATCCGGTTCGAGAACTACTCTGGTTATGTTGCTATTAATTGAAACAGGAACTGGTGGTTCAGTCTGGATGACAATGTTAGCAGCTGTTGGAAACAAAATTCATATTACTGAGTTTTGAGGGCGTTTCAAAGGATTAAAATATTTAGTTCTAAAAGCTAAAAAGTATGGTGAATTGCTCAATACAATCTTTCTTTTTTTTTTTTTTTTTTAAAGAAATGCTTAACAGTAAGGAAAAAAAAAAACCACAAATGCTTCCTTTTTTAAAAATCAGAAACCCAGGCCAGGCATAGTACCTCATGTCTGTAATATCAGCCCCTTGAGAAGCTGAAACGAGAGTTAACGCTTGAAGCTAAGAGCTGGCGATCAACCTGAGCAAGTAAAACCCCATCTCTATCAAAAAAAATTTTTTTTGATTAAAAAAAAAAAAAA